CTAAACCCTAGACCCCAAACCTAAACCCTTAACCCTAAACCCTAAACCCTAAACCCCAAACCCTACCTGGTTAGGACTGCCTCCACAACCCTGTAAGTGCCAATGAGGCCCAAGGCTCCGGCTTCTTCTTTGTCCTACGTCGAGGTAACTTCTCACATTTACCTTTGGGGGCCTAAATCATAACCTATACTATTTTGAGGGCTCCTCAGTCTAGTTATAGTATAACATACCCCAAAACCCTATCCTAATTATGAAGGCCCCTACATTACCTTTGGTCTCAGGGTTGCAGGGTTGGCATGGCAGATCCGCGGTAGTTTACTCCCGAAATACAAGACGCAACCCCGAGACCCTAAGCCCTAAACCACACGACCCCAAAAGCCTTAGCCCAAAGATGCGCCCCCACACACCCCAAACTCAGAACCTCGAAGCCCTAAGCCCTAGACCCCATTCAAAAGCCCCACACCCGAAGCCCTAAACGATAAATCCGATACCCTCAAGCCGAGAGGTCACTGCCAACTTGCGCAACTCTCTCCTGCTCTATGCGGTCTCGACGGCCAGTGCGGCCGTGTGGAAGTTCATTGCAGACCTGAGGGGCGACGTTGATGATGGCTGAAACCCTGGGTTTGAAGTTTAGGCATTACGTAGTCTTTGTCATAGTTGGGTAACATTTTGCTTTTTTAAGGGTACTTAAACCCAATAAGGAATATAAATTTAAATTTTTAATACTACCCCCAACCATGAACTAGTAGTGTTTAACACAGGAACCTGCTTAAGCAACCCCTAAACCCTAAACCCTCCAGCCTTTACTTGAGTTCTTGATTACTATATGGACGTCAGGGTTTCATTGTTTATAATCAGGTTGCTACATTAGGGTTTTGAGACCCTTGGCGAGAAGCCTTCCTTTTCACGCGGTCTATATGGGTCACTATGAGGCGCTTGAGGTTGAGTTTGAAGTGTAGGGTTTAGGGTGTTGAAACCCAGGGTTAATGATTTTTTTTGGTTTGGGGTGTCCTTGAAGGGATGACGAGGTTGCTGCACAGGAAACGATGTCTTGGACCGGGTTTGGGGTAAACCCTAAACCCTAAACCCTAAACCCTAAACCCTAAACCCTAAACCCTAAACCCTAAACCCTAAACCCTAAACCCTAAACCTTGATGTCCACGTGAGGTGGGGGCCCTCTACCATGAATAGTAGGGCCTTAGGGCATAGGATTTCGTGGAGTTCGAGGTGTAGAGGTTCAGGGCCTGGATTTCGGGTTACCCAGAGCCTCCAAAACCCCTTAATTAAGGAATATACCTTAAATCATAATAGGAACCCTACTATGATTTAAGGTATATACCTTAATTAAGGGGTATTGGAGTCTCTGGGTAGGGTTTGGGACTTAATGTCGGGGTTTAGGATTTATAGCTTAAGGGCCTTGGCTTTGGGGTTTAGGCTTTGTCGGGGTTTAGGATTTATAACTTAAGGGCCTTGGCTTTGGGGTTTAGGCTTCGGAGCTGGGGGTTTCAAAATCCAGGGGTTCCCAGAGCGATCTCTGATTTGTGGTTTTCTCGGCATGGCATCCGACTGAAACCTCAAACCCAACGCTCATCTCGCATGTTTGGTATCGTTGGGATTCGGAGCGTTGTCAATACTCGCTTTCTTATCGTCACAGGGAATGCATATAGGCTTTTGAACACTGCTGCTGCTACTGCTACTGAATACAACTGCCACTGCTGCAGCTACCGCTGCTGCTTCTGCTGCAGTTACTGACTGCTTCTGCTACGGATTGCTGCTGCTACTGCTCCTGCTGCCGCTACTGCTGCTGCTGCTGCTGCTGCTGCTGCTACCGCTACTGTTACTGTTACTGCTACTGCAACTGCTGCTCCTGCTCCTGCTCCTGCTCTTACTCCTACTCCTACTCCCAGTCCCAGTCCTAGTCCTACTCCTACTCCTACTCCTACTCCTACTCCTACTCCTACTCCTACTCCTACTCCTACTCTTACTCCTACTCCTACTCCTACTCCTACTACTATTGCTACTGCTGCTGCTGCTGCTGCTACTACTATTACTCCTGCTACTAATACTGCTGCAACAACAACAACTACTACTCCTCCTGCTGCTGCTACTACTGCTACTACTGCTACTACTGCTGCTATTACTACTACTACTACTACTACTACTACTACTACCACCACCACTACGATGGCGACGGCCACGGCCACGGCCGCGGCCGCGGCTACGGCTACGG